TTTGAAGGTGAACAAACAGAACAGTGTTGCTTTAATACGAGTCTTTGATGGAGGCGAGCAGAATAAAGTTTTGCCTCCATGTTATCAAAAGTCAAAGCTCAAATGTCAATCATAAAATCAATGCATCACTATCTTCACTTTGCAAAATAAGCTAACAAGCTCTGTTGAGCGATGAGGTGTGAACAGTTCTGTTGTTTAAGAACACGTCACAAATCAGTCGAAGGTTTTTCTTTGGAACAAATTTAAGAAACTCTTCAGACGCTCACTCGGTCACGTGCTGTGAGGAGACGTTGGTACAGACAATCTCACACTGCTAACATGTATTATTATAACTAACGCTCTACTCCAGCTATATTCAACATTTAAATTCAAATTAAAGATGTGTCTTTTAACCATTAGTTGTCAGTGCTCAGTGGGCTTTAGCTGCAGACTGTGAGTGTGAAGTAGAGCTAGAGGAAGCAGATATGATCAGCAAATTAAACCTTCAAATGAGAAATCAGCTCAATGTTGCTTTTCAAAGAAAATGTTTTTCACTCACATTTCACTTCAACTTTGACGTATCCAGATGTCCTCTCTCCCAGATCATTCTTAGCTTTACAGTAATACCTTCCAGAGTCAGAGGACTGAACTGAGCTGAAGACGAGCTCTGATTCTTTACTGAGTTCACGACCGTTCACCTTTGTACCAGGTGTATTCAGGTGCTGGGTTAGCATCACAGCTACAGGTCACAGTCACTCTACTGTTCTCTCTGATTTCACCAGCAGGACTCACAGACGCTGAACAAACTGATGGAGCATCTTGAGGAGAGAAGAATAAAAATATAACTGAAGTGACCAAAGAAGAATTAAGTGGAATAAAGTGCTGAGGGTGCAGATTGAAACCAGCTGACAACCCCTCCCTCGATGCTCCCCTCTTCACCTGCAGAGTTTACAACAATCATTAAAGCTCAGCGTACTCTGTACGATTGTTTGAAATTCATGGAGGAATGTCGACTCACACTGTACGAGTGAAATCAGGACAGAGCATTCACCATCATCAATAGATCTGTCTCATATGCACGACTCAAATACACACACACACACACACACACACACACACACACACAACACACACACACACACACACACACAGCACAACACACAACACACATGTATTCCCCTCTCAGCTGGAGGTCTGCAGATATTTCCTGCCATCGTTTCTTTTGGATTAAACAGGCGTGTCTACTGTTGCCATGGTGATTTAGGATGTTTTCTGTCAGTTTGCGCAGACACAATCAGGGGGGAAAAGTCCTGAAGTCGTGGGATCTGCGCATGGCTCTGCTATGTGAGTGTGGGCAGTCGTACAACCAAAATATCAAACGTGCCAGAAAATCATCCGACCAGTCTGAAGCAGCTGATCAGACAATGATAGGCTGTCGAGCCTCAGTGTACACTGCACAACTAACAACGGGAGATCAGGCAGAATGAAAAATCAGTCGACTCAAAGATTTTGATGAAATCGTCCTGAAATGGCTCAGAGTCGCCCGGCTTCAGTAGACTGAAGGCCCGCTCTAAAGCAGCCGTTTGTTCTGAGTCTTCTGGTTTATTATAGAAACATGTGAAGCATTGTGAACTTTGTGAAGTGCAGACATAAACAATCATTAACATTACAAACTTTTAAAGTAATTAAACTCAAGTAAAAATATTTTAAATCGTCACATTAAAGTCCTGATTAAATCTCACACACTGGTCCTTTAACTTGAATCTGTCAAAGAGACTATAGTAGTGTGTTTATTTGTAGGTGAGAGTTTCTTCTTTACACATAATATCTTCAAGAACATTTCTGCTGTTTCACTCACATTTCACATTGATAGAGACGTATCCAGACCTCTTCCTCCCCAGCTTGTTCTCAGATCCACAGTAATACTCTCCAGAGGCCGAGGGTTGAATGTAGTTGAAGACCAGCTGTGCTCCTTCATGAAGGTATTGAGGGGTCTGATTTCTCTTGTACCATTTAAAAGTAGCTGCTGGGTTAGCATCACTGCTACAGGTCAGAGTCACTGAACTGCCCTCCACTATCTCAGCAGAGGGACTCACTGACACAGAGGGAAGCTTTGGAGCATCTGGAGGAGAAAAACATTTACTTTGAAAATCAATGTCAGGTCAAACTTTTTCGTTAAAATGAGGAAGAGTTAACAGGTTATAAAAAAGTCAAACACTGTGGAGTAAACTTACAGACTTCAGGAGAGCGGTAATCCTCTCGTCCTTTAACAGAGCAGGAATACTTGTTATTCTCATGAACAGAGACTCTAATAGAAGACGTCTCTGCAATCATTTTTTTTCCATTTCTGTACCAGACATATGAAGGATTATCAGCCACATTACAGCTGCTGTAACACTTCAGCTCTGCATGATTCCTTTTTTTTCCACCTGCACCTGAAGGTCTGAACATGTGAAGAAAGTTAGAACATTAAAATAAACAAAAACAAAAAGATTCACAGTAGTATTAACTCTGAAAATGAAGAAAAACTTAAAATGAGAATGTTACCTGTGATGGACAAAGTGACTCCTTCATCACCAGTTAAACTTCCTCCTGGTTGGTTTGTTGTGAACATGAACTTGTAAACAGCTGAGTCTCTCTCTCTCAGGTTTTTGATTCTCAGAGTGCAGACGTTCTCATGAAAAAGATACTCAACACGACCTGAGTAGTCTGGGTCTGTTCTCACATCTACAGGTTCATACCTGTCTTTAGTAAACCAGAATCTGCTCTGAACTACAGTAGTTTGTTGTCTTATTGTTGATGGGTATGTGTAGGTGCAGGGTATCTCCACTGTTGATCCTTTGACGGCACAGATCTGAGCAGAAGAGTGAGTCACTCTCCAGGTATCCTCTCCCTTCACCACTGAAACACAGAGCACATCAGGAAACACAATCAGGTCAAACATGGACCACAGAACTGATCGTTTTTACAAACAAAAACACAACAGAGACTCTTTCTGCTGAGTAAATTTAGGAACTCTGAAGTCAGCCAGTGCACCTTAAACAGAGTTTAACAATCACTGATTGAAAGTGTACTCTTATTTATCATTGTTTCATGATTTATATGATTTATACATCTTAATGTCAAAAGAGAGACAACAAAGTTCAATCACCACGACAAAGCAGTCCAACGTTTGAGTGTCTACATTTTAGAGGACAGCAGCCATTCTTTAAATCACTTCTTTCAGCTGCTGCCTTCAGGACAAACACAACACCCCGTGCTAAAAAGAACATTTATAGAAAGTAATTTGTCCCTGTTGCTGTAAAATATCTCAATCAGTAATGAAAGCTGTTTTTTTAATTGAGACTGCTACCTCAGCACACAGCACTTGTGTTTATTTTGTATTCAGTCTGGCTGACCTGTAATCAGTCTGTCTAATATTAGTGTCTCCTGTAGGTCCTATCCATGTTTTAACTCCTTGTGTAATCTGTTGTTTGTATGTCAACTTGTTTTTGTTTGTGTTTTCTTCTCATGTGTACGGGCTGCTCCACACCAATTGCCCCAAGAGAGATTAATAAAGTTGTTTGAATTGAATTCAATCAATCAATCTAAATCAATCTTTATTTGTATTGCACAAATTCAGAGAGAGACAGAGACAGAGAGAGAGAGAGTGAGAGAGAGAGAGAGACAGAGAGAGAGTGAGAGAGAGAGAGAGAGAGAGAGACAGAGACAGAGACAGAGAGAGAGAGAGAGAGAGAGAAAGAGACAGAGAGAGAGAGAGAGACAGAGAGAGAGAAAGAGACAGAGAGAGAGGTGTGAGAGAGAGAGAGGGAGAGAGAGAGTGTGAGAGAGGGAGAGGGAGAGAGAGAGAGAGAGAGAGTGTGAGAGAGAGAGAGAGGGAGAAGAGAGAGAGTGAGAGAGAGAGAGAGAGAGACAGAGAGAGAGACAGAGAGAGAGACAGAGTGAGAGAGAGAGAGGAGAGAGACAGAGAGAGAGGGAGAGTGTGTGGAGAGAGAGAGAGGGGAGAGAGAGAGTGTGAGAGAGGGAGAGGGAGAGAGAGAGGAGAGAGAGGGAGAGAGAGAGGGAAGGAGAGAGAGAGAGTGAGGAGAGAGAGAGAGACAGAGAGAGAGAGAGAGACAGAGAGACAAGAGAGAGAGAGAGAGAGAGAGAGAGAGAGAGAGAGAGGAGAGAGAGAGAGAGAGAGAAGAGAGAGAGAGAGAGAGAGAGAGAGAGAGAGAGAGAGAGAGAGAGAGAGAGAGAGAGACCTATAATACGAGTGTTGAGTGACAGCAGTGTGAAAATGGTCTTCTAGTATCATAACAACGAGCTACCGCCGCCCCTCACGCATGTGCAGAACGTACGGGTGGTTGGCCGATGGCTGAAGTCTTTGCAGTGTGTTCTAGAGCAACTTTTTGCAGATGATGTCACTTGGAAAGGTTTTTTAAATGACAATGAGACCAATTACAGAGCTGAGGGAGATCACTTTTACAACTGCTGTTCTGATAACTCGTTGATTTTAAACACACGAGAAACTAAAAAAATGATTTCTGATTTTAGAAGAAATGTAACTCTGTGCATCTTACAAGATAACTTAAATACATTTAACAAACTTGGTTGTTGTAAAAATGTTCTTTTCAAAGACAAACTGTTTGCTTACAGACGAGGAAATCGTTGGACCTGAATGTAAATGCAGTTTAGTGGCTGTGTCTGAAGTGTTCTTGTCTTTGTTTCCTCTCTGTTCAATCTGTGGTCAGGTTAGTGTGAAAAGAAGAAAACTGAAGATCACGTGTGAGTCTGTTTTATCAGGACACTTAACTGTTAAGCAGAAAGAGAACGGAAACATCACACATACATCATACAAAACTTAATGCATCTGCAAACTCTGGTTCCCTTTTTCTGGAGGTGTTATCTTGTTCTCTCATGAAGGAAATAAAGACTCTTACAGCTGGAAGTTACTGAATTCTGCAGCTTTAGTTATTCAGAACTTCTCTTACTGTAAAATACTCCAAAAATCTTCACTGTTTGTGAAAAATGATGCAGACGGATGTTGAATGTATGAAAACGTTAAAAACACATCGTAAGACTTAGAAACTTAGTGAGACAAAACAATCTAATTATAGAAAGAAACAGAAGCAAACATGTCTTTAACAGTTTGCATCATATCTAACACTCAATCTAAAAAACCTGAACATTAAAGAGTCTACTCTTTTATCATTTTAAAAGCAATTTAAGCCTTATCCAAATACGTTCAGTGATGAAAGTTTTAGTGAGGATATACAGTACCTGACACAGAGAGAAGGAAGATAACCAATCCACTCACTGCTGCTTTCAAACTCATAGCTGCTCCTCTCATCCCTGTGTGACTTCAGAGTAAATAAAACACATTAACAGAAGGTCTGTACATGTTTCAATAAATGGCATATCATTGAATAGTTCTACTTACAACAGGGAGGAGATGTCGTCTCTACAGCAAATGTTCCTCTGTGGTCATCAGGCGGCAGAAGTCAAGCTGTTAAAGTTTGTCTTACTTCCTCTTCACATTATGAATATGCATGAAGTTACAGACTGGCGTCCAGTACTGATGTTATTTTAAAAAGAATCTAAGGCACTAACGAGGTTGGCTTTCTAAGGATAAGAATATCAAGAATCTTTAATGTAACTCCATGTAAAGACACCATCAGACAGCAGTTCAGATAAAATGTGTGAGAATGCAGCCAAAGAAACGTGTTCGATCAGCAGCTGCAGCAGAGGAGAAGTTACTTGGTGTGTGTGTGTGTGTGTGTGTGTGTGTGTGTGTGTGTGTGTGTGTGTGCAAACAGGCGGAGCTTGAGAGAAGAACCACCACTCTGACAAAAAGTTGTGTGTTGAATGTGCATTTACTCTGGTAGGATCTCAGAATCATTGGAATCGTCAAGAGGAAGATGAGAGACACCAGACCCATCGTGAAGGCCGCTATCAAAGCAACCTGGGCTTCCATAACACCTCAGCAATGCTACAGACCGATTGTCTTCATGTCATGCTGTTTGATACAGTAGTTCATGCAAAAGGAGCACCAAACAAGTATTGAATGAACATACTTCTCAGAAAATCATCATTCCTGTTTTATAAATCCTTTGTTTTGATTGGTCGTATGTAATAGTCTCATATTTTGAGGTGTTGGATTTTTTTATTTCCATGAGCTATAAGCCATAATCATCAAGAATAAAAGAAATGGTTGATATATTTCAGTCTATTTGTCATAAAGAATATTTGAAAGTTTTCTTAATGAAATTACTGAAAAAATTAACTTTTCCTTCTGATTTTTTTTTTGATGCACCTGCAGTTTTGGGAATAGTTTTGTCTCTTGGAGTCAGTATTGCACTTTGTAGATGGTCCCTTCACACAGGAGTGAAGGCTAGCAATGAGTGGAGGACAGCTGCAGTGTGGTCAAAAGAGCATCAAAATCAGGTTGTCAGTCTGTGTCCCATTCTCTGGCTGGAAAAGGTGTTGACGATTTGTCTTTGATGAGTTATTTATCAGGGAGTTCAGCAAAACTTCTGCATAAATCTCCCCAAAGTTTCTCTTAAAGACACCAGTATAGAGAGCAGTATTAAATTGACGTTTAAGGCAATGTGCAGAAAAATAAGCTGCAAAGTTCTCCATACACTTAATGCTGAAAATGTGTGAAAAATACTTAAAATGAGAATGTTACCTGTGATGGACAAAGTGACTCTTTCATCACCAGTTAAACTTCCTCCTGATTGGTTTGTTGTGAACATGAACTTGTAAACAGCTGAGTCTCTCTCTGTCAGGTTTTTGATTCTCAGAGTGCAGACGTTCTCATGAAAAAGATACTCAACACGACCTGAGTAGTCTGGGTCTGTTCTCACATCTACAGGTTCATACCTGTCTTTAGTAAACCAGAATCTGCTCTGAACTACAGTAGTTTGTTGTCTTATTGTTGATGGGTATGTGTAGGTGCAGGGTATCTCCACTGTTGATCCTTTGACGGCACAGATCTGAGCAGAAGAGTGAGTCACTCTCCAGGTATCCTCTCCCTTCACCACTGAAACACAGAGCACATCAGGAAACACAATCAGGTCAAACATGGACCACAGAACTGATCGTTTTTACAAACAAAAACACAACAGAGACTCTTTCTGCTGAGTAAATTTAGGAACTCTGAAGTCAGCCAGTGCACCTTAAACAGAGTTTAACAATCACTGATTGAAAGTGTACTCTTATTTATCATTGTTTCATAAATTAAATGATTCATACATCTTAATGTCAAAATAGACAACAAAGTTCAATCACCAATAAATTCAATAAATATCAGTCATATCATTGAATAGTTCTACTTACAACAGGGAGGAGATGTCGTCTCTACAGCAAATGTTCCTCTGTGGTCATCAGGCAGCAGAAGTCAAGCTGTTAAAGTTTGTCTTACTTCCTCTTCGCATGATTAATGTGCAGGAAGTTACAGACTGGCGTCCAGTACTGACGTTATTATTTTTAAAGAATTTATGGCACTAATAAGTTACTTGGTGTGTCTATGGGTGCAAACAGGCCAAGTGTGAGCAAAGAACCACCACTCTGACATCTCAGGATCTCAGAAGGAGGCCGTGGTTAAGTTGCCACTAGCTAGTCTAGCAGAAATTAAAAATGTAACTTAATGACTTGACGTGATGCACAGTGGCTCAAAAAGATTGTTTTTTAAATACTTGTACAGACCATGCTGTTTTGATCGTTTTGATTTGCTGCCTATATAATTTGTCTTCCTCATGCACCTGCTGCAGTGAGCTGTATTATTATTATTGATATTATTATTATTAATAATATTATTGTCACTGTTATTATTATAGTTATTAATTGTATTTATTTATTTATTTTATTTACCCTTTATTTTACCAGGAAAGAATTGCTTGAGATCAAATGACCTCTTTTTCGAGCAAGGCCTGGCCAAAATGGCAGCAGTAAAAAACAGAATATAAGACAAACCTAAAAAGAAAGCACAGACATGAGGAAAAAGAGACAAATACAGTCCAGAAGGTGAAGAAGAAGTAGGAGGAGAAGGGGAGGAGGGGGATAAGATTATGTTAAACAAAAACAAAACACAACAGTGCACCACAATACACACTAAAAGAACAATTATGTGATGATGATAAAATACTATGCAGTGAAACATTTACACACTCCAAAATTAGCCATTAAAAAACTTGTGAGCCGAGTTTTAAAATCATTAATAGTGATGAGTTCCTGCAATTTGAGTGTTTTTTGAAGACTGTTCTATGCAGAGGGAGCAGAGTACATCAAGGCCCTCTTCCCAAACTCAGTACGAGTTCTGGGGACTGACGTAGATAGAAAGTCCAGAGAGCGCAAACTGTATGATGGATTTGATTTAAAAGTGAGGTAGGTGCAGAGGTATGAAGGGAGTAGTCCAGTAATAGCTTTATAAATGAAGGTGTACCAGTGAAGAAGCCTACGAGCTGACAGGGACAGCCAGCCTACTTTAGAGTACAGGGTGCAATGATGGGTGAGTGATTTACAGCCGGTAATGAATCTTAACGCACAATGATAAGTAGCATCCAGCATGTGCAGTGAGGTAGAGCAGGCATTCCTGTACAGTACATCACCATAATCTAATAATGGAATGAAAGTAGCAGCAATAAGCCTCTTTTTAGAAACAAAAGAAAAACAAGATTTATGCCTGAAATAAAAGCCCAATCTCACCTTTAGTTTCTTTGCCAGGTTCTCGATATGGGGTTTAAAAGACAAATTGTCATCAAGGATGATACCAAGGTATTTAAAAGTGGAAACGGTCTCAATAAGAGTACCTTGAAATGTAAATAGAGTGGGCTGACAGTTACTTTTGTCCCTGGATTTAGTGAAGATCATCATTTTAGTTTTATCTGCATTAAGTACCAGTCTTAAAGACAGGAGTTGGGCTTCTATTTCTTTAAAAGCAGCTTGCAAGCGATCAACAGCCTTTAACACAGTCTCTCCAAAACAATAAATAATAGTATCGTCAGCATAAAAATGGGCATTTGCATTTTTGGCATTTTTGGCATATTTCCACAAATCATATAAATAGTAAACAACAAGGGACCTAATATAGAGCCTTGTGGCACCCCCTTGTGGACAGCCAAAGTATCAGAGGAGCAGCCATCAATTTTAACACATTGAGTCCTGTCTGAAAGATAGTTAGAAAACCAACCAACAGCAGAATTAGACATCCTATATTATCCAGTCTATGCAATAATACATCATGGTCCACCGTATCGAAGGCCTTGGAAAAATCAATAAAAAAGACAAGCACAGTGTTGTTTGCTATCCAGGGCCATAAAAATATCATTTACTATTTTAGTAGCTGCTGTGACTGTACTGTGTGATTTTCTAAAACCAGATCGATAACAAGATAAAATTTCATTAAGACTCAAGAAATCCTTCAACTGATCACTAACCAGGCTTTCTAAAATCTTGGCTAAAGGAGACAGATTTGAAATAGGCCTGTTGTTATTGAGGCTTGACAGTTCGTCACCTTTTAAGAGGGGAAGAACGTGAGCCGTTTTCCATATTTTGGGGATTTTCTTACTAGTTAGAGTTAAATTAAAAATGTAGGTCAGTGGCTCTGCAATAAAATCTGTGGCGAGTTTTAAAAAATAAACACCTATGTTATGTGGCCCTGGTGGTTTTTTTAAATGGAATTTCTTACGAGCTTTATGTACTTCAGCAACAGTGAAGGGTCTAAAGTTAAATTCATTATCCAAAGGGGGCTCAGCAATAGCAAGTGGAGCCAGTGCAGTAGAGGGCGTATTTACTTTATCAAAAAGAAAACCAGAAGAAACAAAATACTTATTAAAACAATTGAGCATCTCAGCTCTGTCATGGATAGTGGCAGACTCTGACACAATGCAAGTTGGAAGACTAGAGGAGTTATTTGGAGATAGAGATTTGATTGTCTGCCCGAATTTCCGTGGGTTATTTAAATGTTCAGTTGTAAGGGCAAGATAATAGCTAGATTTGGCCTTCTTGACTAAGACAGTACATTTATTCCTTAAGCATC